CAAAAAAAGTATTCCGCTCTCAAGAGTGGACTAGCGTGGGGCTGAGGAAATGAAGCTCGGTAGTTCCTGTGGAGACTGAGGTACCCTGAGTCCAGGTGCTTACACCAGCCTGTGTAACACAGTGAGTCCTTGTCTCCATATAAACTGCTTATCCTGGGGCTGGAGAGATGGCTCAGAGGTTAAGAGCACTGACTGCTCTTCTGGAGGACCTGGGTTCAATTCCTGGCAACCACATGAAAGCTCACAACTATCTGTAATGAGGTCTGGTGCCCTCTTCTGGCCTGCAAGGATACATGCAGACAGAACACTGTATAAATAAGTAAACAAATCTTTAAAACAAAAACAAAAAACAAAACCCCACAAACTGGTAAGCAAATAAAGGACTAGAATATAACTGTTTTTGCTTCGTGGTGGCCAAGGTATTCTAGTGGAGTGGTGTACCATTTATCTTATTTTTAAGGATTTATTTTATTTTTGTGTATGTGTATGTGTGTGTCTGTCTGTGTGTATGCTTGTACATGTGTTCAGGCACCCATAGAGATCTTCTGAGGGTGTTGGATCCCAAGGGTTTGGAGTTTCAGGAGTTTGTGAACTACCCAACATAGTGCTTGGTGTACCATTTTATGCTACTGCCTGTGGTAGATTGAACAGGAATGGCCCCATAGACTCATGTGTTTGAAAGCTTGGCTCAGAGAGGGGCACTGTTAGGAGGTGTGGCCTTGTTGGAGGAAGTGTGTCACTATGGGGGCGGGCTTTGAGGTCTCATATGTGCCCAAGCCATGCCCAGACAGTCTCTCTTTCTGCTGCCTGTGGATCAAGATGTAGAATCCTCAGCTCCTTCTGTAGCAGCATGTCTGTCTGCACGTGTCCTGCTATGACCAGAATGGGCTAAGCCTCTGAAACTGTAAGCCAGCCCCAATTAAAATGCTTTCCTTGTAACAGTTGCCGTGGTCATGGTGCCTCTTCTCTTCACAGCAATAGGAACCCTAATTAGACACTGCCTCTAAACTGGTTTTGCTTCTCTGAGGCTGGAAATCTAAAAACTACATTTCCCAGAATCCCTTGACAGTTTCCTTCCGGACAGTCTTGTTGATAGGGCACAGTTGCGGGGAGATGAGGTAGTGACAGGACAGACATTGAGCAATAACAAAGCACTACAAGCCCAGCCTTGGCATGAGCTCTTTTTTTTTTTTTTATTGGTTTTTTTGAGACAGGGTTTCTCAGCCCAAGCTGGCCTCGAACTCGTGATCCTCCTGCCTCTGCCTCCTTCAGGAAATCCTACCGGCGTGCGCCACCACAACCGGCGGCATGAGCTCTTAGAGATCTCCCTGTAGCTGCAGAATGTCCCCTCAGTGGCCCCAACAGGAGCCAGTTTCGCCAAGCCTGTGGCTAACTTAAAGGAAAAGTAGTTTTCAGATCCGCTTGCAGCCAGGTTAGGTCGTGTGACAGAGAACGAAAGTGATGTGTGCTGTCTTGGGGCCGTGGCCTTGAAGGGAGGCATCTGTCTAGACTGTCTCCTTGCCTGAATGTAAGTGGATCCCAGAGCCTTGGCCCATTCTGCACAGGGTGGTTTGGGAATAGGTAGATATGGCAGGGACATTACCGCCGAAGGACTCCTGCTGGGACCTCTTTCTGGGAGAAAAAGAAACCTCTTACCTGCTGTTAACTAGTATTATTTGGAACTTCTGTTGGCATAGACAATTTGCTTTCTAACTAACATTTATAAGGTGGGACCCATGAAAATTAGACATGGCAGTCCCATCCCAAGGGCTCATAGGAACGACTCACAAGCTGAGGTCCTTGTCACCAAACCTGCTGTTTTCGCCTCCTCCCCCGTGTTGGGATTTCATCTTCTTTGCTCTTTCCACACTGGGCTGCCAGCAATTCTCAACGTGTGGGTTGTGACCCCTTTGGGGTTGAGTGACCCTAAGACCATCGGAAAACACAGATATTTACATTACACTTCATAACAATAGCAAGATTAAATTTATGAAGTAGCAATGAAAGTAATGTTGTGGTTGGGGGTCACCCCAACATGAGGAACTGTTTGAGGGTCTCAGCATCAGGAAGATTGGGAACCACTGGGCTAGATGACTCCATTAGCCGTCCTGACACTGAGAACCTCCGGATTGCCTGTCTCCTTTAGCCCATAAAGCTAGTTGTTGCTAAGTGGAAACCTCCTCGTCCGGACACTTCCGGACTCCTCAAGCCCAGCTTCTTCTTTGTTTGTTTTTTGTTTTGTTTTGTTTTTTCGAGACAGGGTTTCTCTGTATTGTTTTGGAGGCTGTCCTGGAACTCGCTCTGTAGACCACGCTGGCCTCGAACTCAGAGAGACCCGCCTGCCTCTGCCTCCAGAGTGCTGGGATTAAAGGTGTGCATAGCCACCACCACCCAGCAAGCCCAGCTTCTTGACTGGAGTGGTGGCCCTCTCTTTACTCTCAGAGCTCAGAGACAGAGGCAGGGACACCTCTGAGCGTTTGTGACCATCCTGGCCTACATAGTGAGTTCCAGGACAGTTAGGGCTTCAAATAGAGACCTTCTCTCCAACAAACAAAACAAACAAAAAAACCATTTTCTCCCTTGCTGAGCTCATCCTCTTTCCTGTCCAAGTATGATCACCCTCCACGGTCTCCAGTTTCGGTATGGTCCCACTTCAGTCACCCACTCAGCCTAAAACCCGGGCCCTTGTGGACTTAAACATTTCTAAGATTGAGATTATCTGTTGTGTGTGTGTCTACATGCACATGTGTGTGTGTGTGTGTGTGTTGTGTGTTTGTGAGCACAGGTGTGCTATGACACACGCGTGCAGGTCATAGGGCAGCTAGCAGGACCAGGCTCTCTCTGTCTACCACGTGGGATTGAACTTAGGTCCTCAGGCTTGTCACACGTCCACACACTGAGCTGTCTTGCCGGCCTTTCGCTCAGACTTCTGCCCACAAGCGGCACAGTCAAGGCTTCCGTTGGCCCAGCTGTTCAGGCATCTCCATTCTCGCCCTCACAGACATGTCTCCCCCCAGTCACTCTGCAGTCCAAGATCCCTTAGAGTGTCCTCAGGATGAGGCGAAGCCGCTTTGTTTCACAAGGCCCTTCATGATGTAACCCTTAGTCACGTCTGTGTTCTGTCACTCCAGACCTTAGGAACTACAGGCAGCCTTCGGAAGGAGCCTGGCTTTGGTCCCCCATGCTGTTAGCTCTGCTTGTTCCCTCTTCCTGTGAGTCACCAGCAGCCCACCCCACCCCCACCCCCCGCCGTGAGCTCAGCGTGGAAAGCTTTCTCTGTAGCATCTTCAGGAGTCCCAGAATCCCAGAGTGCCCGCGGCTGTGGACCCTCCCTAGCCGTGCTGAGGAAGTGCCAGCCTGTTATTGGTCACCGCGAGCCCGGAGTCCAGGATCTGCAGTTATCATGCTTTCTCACCCTCTTTCTGCAGCCTCTGCTTCAAGAGCCCCAAGCTAGAGAAATTCCTTATCCTTTCTGACCCGGGATAAACTGGAGGGAAGGCTTCTATTTTTGCTTTTTTTTGTAACTGTGATAAATATACAAGCTTCTTGTCTAACAGCCTGGCTTGGCACGTGGTTGGTTAAGTTCCCTTTTCTTTTGTACTTATTAAGAACACAGATATCTTCATAGAAAGGTAATTGGCCATAGAGGAGAGAGGCCTGGCCACCCACCCAGGCACTGTCCGTTAGGCTCCTAAAGTGCCGTAGGAACCGCAGGTCTCTGGCTGAAAAGCAGTTGATTATTTCAATACAGACAGAACACGTCCGTGTATCTCCACATGGCTGAGAGGCAGAGCCAGTGGGAGCATGGTGTTCATGTGTGTGTTCCTTATCTTAGACCCCCGGAAAAATAATACTGGTCTCCTTCCTGGAAAGCAACAGAAACTTCTAGACTCTTCGCAGTCCAGCTCTCCTCCTCTTCTCCCTTTCTCCATCATTAATATGTCTGTCTTATTAACTCCAAGGCAGTAAGGCTCAGTGGTACCCTACTTCCTGGGACCCCTCCTGCTACAGGGAAGCACTTCTCTTCCCCCCACTTAAGTGCCCATCTATTAGTTTATAAGAAAGTTCTAACACCCTCTATGGTCTGCAAATTCCACTCTTTAAAAATTCCAAACAAGAGCTGGGTGTTGGTGGCGCACGCCTTTAATCCCAGCACTCTGGAGGCAGAGGCAGGCAGATCTCTGTGAGTTCAAGGTCAGCCTGGTCTACAAAGCGAGTTCCAGGATAACCTCCAAAACTACACAAAAAAACCCTGTCTTGAAAAACAACAACAACAACAAAATGTCCAGACAAGGGCCTGAAACTTTGGTGGCTGGTGAGTTTCTGGGGCCCTAGTTCCTAGAGAAAGACTCAGTTGTCCTCCAAGACTGCCCTGAAGGAAGAATTCCCAGTGGGCTCCGTGATACTAGCTGAGGCTCCTGCAGAGGGGAGGTTTGCCAAAGCGACACACTAGAAGGAGGCGCAAGAGGGGCTCTCTGGTACCGTGTCCTCATGGCATGCTTCTCAGAGAGGGACCTTTGCAACTCTGGAGCGCTATGTACTTCTCAAGAGTTCTCAGCCTCTGCTTACTCTAGTGGCTAGTTCAGGGAGCTAAGATGTGGGGTCATGACCCCATTTGAGAGATGAGGAAAACAAGCAACTGAGCCAATCCTGTGCAGTGTGAGGATCACCCGCACCACTTAAAAAATTGCTAACCCTAATGCCTGCTCTGGGTCCCTCCTGGGTAGGGTCTGGCCTTGGCATTTTTCCAAGCTCCCTTTGAAGGGTCAAGTGTGTTACTAGCTTTGATAGCATGGTCACGATTCGGTGCATGTCCCGACTCTACCAACCTCAGCTCAGGCTTGCCCAGGGGTAGCTCTGGGGATTTGTAGAGTAACTCTACAGCAGTCACAGGTCTGGAGGGGACTGGAGAGGCAGAGTGAGCAGGAAGTCAGGAGGAACCTGGAGAGGCAGAGTGAGCAGGAAGAGGAGCTCTGAAAACAGAAAGCAAACAGCTCAAATGGTGGCAGGCTGCTTTTTATTCATCGTTAATTTAAATACCCTTTAGTCCTCTCTCAGAGCAAAGTGCTGGTCGGAAGGAGAAATATGTTGATTCCAAGTGCTGTAGGCTTGCCTGCATGCTGGAGCCCCTCCCCAGAGAAGGCAGCATAAAAAAATGAGTTGTAAAGCCAGGGCCAGCTTCCTTGGGAGGAGGGACTCGGTTTTCCGTCAGGTTGGTGCAGAAAGGCCATCGCTTCTCCTCAGCGCATAGTGAGGCTGGCTTTGTGCTGCATTCGGTGACGTCACGTGGCAGGATGCCTGCTGGAGCCAGGGCTTCTCCAGGGTCACAAGAGTCCAGGCCACAGGTCTGTGCTACGGAGCCCAGGTGGGCCCAGGAATGGCTTCAGCAGGTCCTTCCCCCTCCCCACTCTACAGAAGGGACCCCCAGGGTCTCCCAACAACCCTAGTGACACAAGACAAGCCCAGCACCTCTTCTGGATGCTGAAGGGTCCTGAGCTGCTGGCTGGCAGGGCCTCCCCGACTCTGACAGAGGTTTGTGCTTTTTTGTTCCTAAGAGTGTAAAAGGTTACACTAAGATAGAGCTGGGTGGCCCACAGGCCCTGTGATGGCTGACTAGATGGGGCACTGTTGGCCTCGGCCCCCCAGGAGCATCTCCTCTGTTAATAAGGGTTCAGATGCCCTCGCCGTAGAACCTGTAGGAAGAGGACCCTGCTGGGGGGCTTGCTGACCAGCTATTTCTAAGGGTGGACTTGGGGCTGGATGCTGGCGTCCGTGTAACACGTAAACACATGCACACTGTACGTAAAACTCCTCGACACAGAGAGGAACAAAGCCCGGGGAGATCTCTAGAGAATTTAACAGGGAAAAATCTTTTTTCTTCAAATGGCCTCACACGGAGGAAGGGTCCCTTGAGGCAAGGGCTAGTAGCTGTTTGTAAGGCTGCTGTGTGTGGGTGCACCTGTGCATGGGCGCACCTGTGCCTGAAACTGCCTAAGGGTTTCATCTGGGAGACACAGGGGCTGACTATATGTGACTTTCGTGAGTAATGATACCAACAGCTGATTCTTTATTTACCTGCTCAGCTCTAAGAAGGCCCGAGGCTCAGCTCCTGGCCTCTGTGTTCGGTGTGGCCACAACTAGAAGACAAAGAATTATGGGAATAATACTGTGTCATTATAGGAGTTCACAGCATTATAGGGCCACAAGTGTGGCCCTGAGGTTGAGAACATTGGTGAGCTGCCAGCCACGGGTCACAGATACCTGTGACCGCAGAGGAAGCATTGCCATCTAAGGACATGGAGTCCTTAGGAAAGGGGTCCTGAGCAATGTCATTGTTCCCATTGTTCTTGCTTCTCCATGTTCTCTCAGACAAGAGGTCACACCGAGTGACTCAACTGCTTCCCCAGGTCAGCTTTCCAAGAGCTCAGCCCCCAGGCATCTGGGGCACCGAATCCTTTGGTCTGGACAGGGGACAGTAATAAGATGCCATACCACATAGTGGGACTGAGACTGGTGTTGTGTGATGGGGACCAGTGGGACGGGGCGACGATGTTCATGTGTCACCGGTTCCTGAGATACTCAGAGGACAGACATTTGTCTGGGAAGTCCCGAGAGGGAAGGAGAAGAGGGCCTTCCTTTCCCTGACCCTGCAAACCAAGGTGTATGCTTTCGAAGCTTTGCCCTATCTGCAGCCAATCACCTTCTTCCAAAGCCCACACATAGGAAAGGAATTGAGACCGGCTAAGGCTGTGTGGCATAAGCAATTTAGGGTGGGGGGGGCTAAGAAGCATGGTGACAGAAGAGGCTGCCAAGGAGTGCTTGGCATTTCTCTTCCCCGGAGGAGGATCCTGGTGGTTGTTCCCCGGAACCCAAGGAGGCAGGATTCCATGCAGCGCCATGCATTCATCAGTATGGTGGCTTGGATGCCTTACTAGGCGACTTGGTGGCCCAGCCCTAGCCTCCCCACCCCCTCCCTGTGCTGCTGCCAGAGCTCCCTCCCCATGGGCAAACTGCTACTTTGCCTGGTCCAGATGCCTCTGCCATGGGAATCTCTGCTTCCCCCTCTGGATGGCTCAGATCCCCAAGTTATTTCCTGTTGCCTAGGTGACATCTCTAGTTGGATGCTTTAATCTGTTCCTCTTTTAAAGGGATAAGCGCTGGTGCTTTACTTCCAGGTCTCGTCAAAAGCCCCATACTGGAGACTTACGAGTGTGTAGTCCCTTCCTGGGACCAAAGCCGTTATTCAGATGATAGCTCATGGGCTGGCCCTGATGGACAGTCATAGCATAGCTTCCGGAGGGGTCTACCCTTGAAGACTTAGTAAGACTGTCTCCCTCCTGCCGGCCCCACCTCATTGGCTTCACACCAGATTAGAGCCTGTGTTTAGAGACCAATCCCAAATCAGACTGGAAATTTCCCAAGCTAATCAAGTACCTGTGCCCTGGACTATCTATTTATTTTTCCCCTTCCTATCTGAAACTGGGAGGGGAAAGAGGAGTTGACATTCAAATATGGTTTTAAATGTTACATGTATGGGTGCACACACACTCCTGACGGGCAGTATTGAGGTGAGGGCGTTTGCAGAAATTCTTACCAGAAGTGTCGTATATTGGGTCACACTGTGAACAGACACTTTTCTGGAATGCTGACATTGCTTTAGAGGAGACAAACGGCAGAGGTGTGTTCCTTCACAGCTTCAATGAAGCCTTGGGCATCTGGGCTTCCATCCGCAGAGGATGAATCTGGGAGATGCTGACCCTCCACCTGAGGACCACCACCCAGAACACCACTTGTATTCCATGACTCCTCCCACCAGTGGGTCCCGGCATCTCCCCCCCTCGTGCCTCCTCCACCTCCAGTGTGGAGTATGCAGAGAGAAAGCAGACCTACCTGGTTATTTGGAGATCTCATTTTGCCTGCCCGTAAACACTATGTGGTAGGCACTGGAGTTTAATGGCCTGGCGTTTGCAATATGGCTGCTTTTGGCATCTGGTGCTGTAGCCCCCGCCCCCATGGTGGTAGAGGGCAGAGCCCCGAATCACAGAAGAGGTGGGTGGGGGTTGTGCTCTGCACCACTGGGCTCTCTGAAAGGGGGAAGAGTTGAACTAGTCACCAGTAGTTAAGAAGACAGAAGTAACAAAATCTTATCCGAGAAGAGGCGACCAGTCCTGGTTGGAAAGCGGCCCTGCACGTGCCTGAAACTTGTGACGGCCAGGTCAGGGGCTCATTCTAGAGATCACGCTGAAACAGAGCGGGACCCCGAGCCAGACAGCGCCTCTCCCTACAGGTCCCCCTGTGTTTCCTCGAATAGAATTCAGGAGGTGGACTAGCTGGGAAAGGCCAGCTAAGCCCCTCACCATTTGCAATTTCCAAGTGTGTGTGTGTGTGGGGGGGGGGAGATGCCACCGACCGCCGGTTAGTGCTGTTTCCTCTCATTGCATAATACTACACCATTCCCCGTGTGTAGTGGCTGTTCTATATATACACACCCGGGAGGCGACATATGGCGCTCCCTACCCCCACCTGTCAAAACTGTGACTATATCACTTCTGACGACCAGAAGGAAGCTGCTAGGCTGGGCCAGGATTCTAAAGGCTGAGGAGGTAATTCGGAGCCATGGAAGGAGGCGCCATATGCTTCGGGGTTGCCAGCTGCTTGTGTGCATGGGGAAGGTTTTAGTGCTCGTCTGCAAAGCCCAGGAATGCACTCGCTTTGCTGCAGTAAGCGCTGGCGCGGCGAGTTGGGCGGGGGATTTGGGGTGCCACTTTTTTCTCTTCCTGGAAGGGAAATCTGTTGGGGGCCACGGTTCTCCAAGAGCGGGGTAGGGGCCCAAAAGATCACAGTCTCATCTAAAACTTGCCCTCGATAACGTCAGGCCTGGCCAAATAGTATTTCTTTAGAAAACTTTTTTTTTGTGGTTGTCTCTCTTTCTCTCTCTCTCTCTCTCTTTTTTTTTTTTTGTTTCGTTTTTATTGGATAAAGATTAAGAAAGCGCCATCTCAGAGAGATCTGAAGTAAACCCGCCCGGCGGCGCGCAGCCCGGGTCGGGTCCGCGGCGCTGGGGGCGGGCGGCCGCTCTACCTGGAGGCGCTGGTCTCTGCCAGCCGGTTGTTCATGATGCCCAGCGCGCCCACGCCGCCCGAGAAGCCGTTCTGGCGCGTGTTGACGCACACGCTGCGCGGGTAGCCGTTGGCCGTCTCGGACAGCTGCTTCTGCAGCAGCGCCAGCGACACCTTGTTGGACGCCGTGAGGTCGCGCATAGAGATGAGCTCGCCCGACAGGCGGCGGCCCTCGGCGTCGCTGTCGCGGGTCGCGGGGTCGGCGCCCAGCGCGGCCAGGCGGCGGCGCAGCCGGGAACCCGGGGTGATGGCATTGCGCCGTGCCAGGGGCGCGCCGGGCGCCGGGCAGCAGCGCGTGCAGCAGCGGCAGCTCAGCTTGCGCAGCATCCAGTTGAGCACCTGCTTGATGAGGATGGAGATGACGTTGAAGAGCGAGTAGATGCAGCACACGCCGAGCAGGATGAAGAGGAAGTTGCCCAGGCGGTAGAGCCCCTGGTTCCGGTAGGCGGCGTGCTGGCTGCTCACCAGGTCCCCGAAGCCGATGGTGCTGAAGGTGACGAAGCAGAAGTAGAGCGAGTCCACGTAGTCCCAGCCCTCCACGCTGGTGTACATGGCCGAGGCGCAGCAAGCCAGCAGCACGGCGAACAGGCCCAGGATGAGCAGCACGTGGTACACCGAGGGCTTCCAGCCCGCCAGGCTGTCCGCCTCCGACAGCGCCGAGCCTCGACGGAAGGTGGCGGGCAGCAGGCCGCTGCGGCGCAGCTGGCGCTCTCGGCAGGCGCGCATGATGAAGGCCAGCAGCGAGATGATGCGCTCCAGGAAGAGGTTGAAGAAGAGGATGGTTCCCGCGCAGCCGAACAGCCCGTAGGCGATGAGGAAGGCCTTCCCGCCCACTGTGGCGGGGGTGGTCATGCCGAAACCTGTGGAGATGAGAGCCAGGGTCAGCGAGGGCAGGTGGTCCCTGTCTGGGGTGGGCGTGTGGCAGTCCCAATACAGATGCAGGATCAACTCCTGTCCTAACTGATTTAAGCCAGGTGGGGGCGAGACATCACTTAGACGCTTCCCTCTCTTGGCGGCCCTTGATCATGGGAGCCCCAACAAGATGGAAAGAGACCCTTGCCGTGGGGATATCTGCATAGCTAGGATAGGTCCAATGGGATGATGTGCCAAGCAGCAACAGGTGCACAGATGCTAACCATTGAGCCTCCCACAAAGCCAACGAATGACACCTGTTCCCCTGACTGAATTTTCTTTATGGACTCCCCGGCAGACAGACAGCCTTGTTGGGGTGGACTTCCAGAAGGACGTCTTGTAACTGGGATTGCTTACTCGGGGACCAGTGAGAGAGAATGACCAGAAAGCTCTGGCTCACTTACTGAGCTTACACGAGGGTCCTTGTGGGGGTTCCCCTCCCTCGGTTCTTAGAGTACAAATCTGGGCATCTGCCACTGGGTTTCTGATCCCTCTCTCTGTCTCTGGGACCACCATCAGTCACCCTTGCTCAGACCATGGACGAGAGAAATGTTGTGGCCCAGCTGGGCCCTGTGGTGCAGGTACACGGCTGGACCTTTGTCCTGGAAGGGTTTCAACCCATGTAATTCGCAGAGGTAGCCTACCCACCGTTTGTGGAAAGCCGGGCTTTAAGACTGTGTGAATGGACTGTGTGAACGGATTCTCACAGGAGGCCTGGCTGCCCCCCCTCCCCAGTGTGCCCATTAGAGTTGCTTGAGAAGGGGCGGGGGTCCTTGATTCTCTTGGTCCCTGGAGTCTGAGCTGTCTGACCACTGTCACTCATTTCCATGCTTGTGGGAGCAAAGCTTCAGACGAGACCCCAGTTCCTTCACACCCAACAGAAAGGGACAGCCATGTGCTGCTGTCCAGCTCTGGGGAGAAACCGAGGCTGCTCTGTCACAGTTGGCTTACTGTCTCCTTAACTAGGCCAGAGAAAATACTCCCTAACAGGTTCAGAGCAAATCCCTTCAGCTTGTATGCTAATCACTTTCTTGATTCCCCCGAGAAAATGTCCAAGTTGTCTATTCATTTTACGATTACTGACTCAAGTTCAAGGAAATTCCGATGACATTACTCACTGGGAAAGATGGTTTGTTTGCTGTGTTCCAAATCTGGCCACAAAAGAATGGAAAATAACAGCAAATAACAGTAACAAGACCAACGAAATGTTAGCGGTTTGCCCAGGAATGTGAAAGGAGGATTCTACAATACTCTAAAGCCAAACTCTTCTTGGACTCACGAAGAAATCAACTCTGTATTTATATTAGTGCGTGTGCGGGGAGAGTGCAGGCATGGTGATGCCCGTTTGTAATCCCAGGATTTAGGAGGCAGGAGGAGTAGGAGTTCAAGATCGTCCTTGGCTACTTAGTAAATTGGAAGCCCGCCTAGGATACCGGAGACCCTGAACGGACTCTAGCCCTGGCAGGCCTTGACCTTCTACACCATTCCATCTTCCTTGCTAAAAACCGTCAGATGCATTCTTTTGCATTCTTTTTTTTTTGTTTTTTGTTTTTTGTTTTTTGTTTTTTGTTTTTTCGAGACAGGGTTTCTCTGTGGCTTTGGAGGCTGTCCTGGAACTAGCTCTTGTAGACCAGGCTGGTCTCAAACTCACAGAGATCCGCCTGCCTCTGCCTCCCGAGTGCTGGAATTAAAGGCGTGCTCCACCAATGCCCGGCCGTCAGATGCATTCTTTTATTTATTTATTTTTTTTGGCTTTTTTTCGAGACAGGGTTTCTCTGTGGCTTTGGAGGCTGTACTGGAACTAGCTCTTGTAGACCAGGCTGGCCTCGAACTCACAGAGATCCACCTGTCAGATGCATTCTTAAAGCCAGCCACCAAGGTCCAGTCCCTTATTTGGCCACTTCCTCCTCCAGAGGCTGACTACCAAGGTCCAGCTATCAAAGAATTGAAGTAGAGCAATCAGAAGGCCCGTTTGGCTCACCTAATTAACACGTCCAATTAAAATTAAACACCTCATCCTAACACAGGGTTTCCCCTTTTACCTTTATAACTGCCAGTTTCCAATGGCCATGTCTGTCTCCTCTCTATCCAGAGGTAGTCCTCTGTCCCTCCAGGACAAATATCCCTTCCCCCTCTCCCTTGGTCTCTTCCTCCTCTCCCTGTTCCCTTCCCCTTCTCCCTCATCCTTCGCTTCCTGTCTTTGCTTTTTATTTCCTTCTCTTTATCTCTCTAGGGAAAATAAATCTCCTTAGTGCTGAGAACTTGGTCTTGGAGGTCCTGAGCGGATGCCGATCCCTTCAGACCCTCTCAAAAGCAAAATAAAATAAATTTAGAAAGTCCTAGATTGGGGTTGGGGAGATGGTCCGGTGATTAAGAGGAGAAACTGCTCTTGTAGAGGACCTTAGCAGATATCTGAGCACCCACAGCAGGTGGTTCACACCACCTGTAGCTCCAGCTCCAGGGAGTCTAAAGCCTCTGGCGTCCAAAGCCTTAGGCACCTGCACCTGCATACCCCGTTCATATAGTTATAGACCTACGCTGATAAGCCAGTGCCCAGCAACGTAACTAGACCGTGGTCTGCTCATTACAAGGGAACCTTGCTCACTGAAAATATCACAAAATTTGTTTATAATATGACGAATCTCACGCAAGAAAGAAGATTGAACAAAAACAAGCTGTGAAGAAACTGCCCTGTACTATTTCAGTAATATAGAACAATGTTTTAATTTTTAGGGATGCCTTTGATCAATCAAATTATAAGAAAAGAGTAGGGGCTTTCTTGGGAGAGGATGCAGGGGATATTGATGTATATATAGGGATCCTCGAAATGTCACTTGAATGCTAGTTGTGTCAGATGTGTTAAACTTTTTTAAGTGTTTCCTCACACCTCCAAGATAAGAAAATATTCTTAATTTTTACAGTGTTACAACTGGAAGAGACTTAATCTTCTTTTGTTACAACTCACCTATTTAAGCTTGAGTACTATTTTATTAGTATTTGAGGGAAAAAAAACTGGACGTTTTGTTATTTTACTTTGTCACTGTTGGCGATCACAGCCAGACCTGGAACAAGGCTGGCAGGGGCTCTACCACCGAGGTCCCTGTCCCTGGAGGTGTTAGCGAGGGAGGAGGGGCAGCCAGAGCCTGTCCTGTGATAGGACCTGTTTGGAGACTTTTGTCACAATGGTGGCTCTGCTTAGGCAGGGAAACAGAGCCTGTAGTGGAGGGATTCCTTTGCTAAAGTCCTAAAGGAATGGAAAGTCCTAAGCCTGGAAAATTGGTGCTTAGTCAGGATATGAGAATGCTGAATTGGATTTTCCTATTTTTCTGTTTTTTCAGCTGGAGTCTCAATACTGAGAACAACCCGTGGCATGTAATTCCTCATTCTTCCTCTTTGTGTGTGTGTGGGGGGAGGGTTGGGGGGTTGGGTGGAGGTTCAGCAGGGTCTCATGTAGTCTAGAATGACTGCAGATTTACTATGTAACCAAGGCTGGCTTTGAACTCTGTATTGCTTAGTCTATCTCTAGACTGCTGGGATTACATGTGTGACACCATGTCTGGCCAGACACATCCATGCTGGATTAACTAAACATGCAAAACAGGTTTGACGACTAGGACATCCCCACCCTGACTCCCTGACACCCCTAGGTATCTAATAGGTTAGAAATTATCCTGGAAAGTGGTACAGGTTGGATTTTTAAAAGACGCTATCTAAGGTCTCCTCCTGCCTCAACTTCCCCGTGGGTGATGCTTGCACTGTGCCTGGTTCACTGTTACTGTTTGTATCTTTTCAAGGATGGGGAGAAGTTACACATTGGGCACAGCTAGCTTCCTATTTACTATGCATCCAAAAACGACCTTTAACTCCTAAGTCTCCTGCTTCTACCTCCTAAGTGACGGGTTTACAAGCATTCACCACTGTGGCTGGCTAGTTTGGATCTTGAATAGCTTCCACAGTGTGGTCCGTTGAAGGCTTGATGCCTACACACTATTAGGAGGTGGCAGGACCCTTCGGGTGAGGCCTTAATGGGGGTTCTAAAGGGCAGTGGAGGGTATATCCTTGCAAGGGGTTATGGGACCCTGGCCCCTTTCTCATTCTGTTTTGCTCTTTGGCCATGAGTATTAGTTATTTGGTGTAGGAGTTGAACCCAGGGCTCTTAGAAAGGGCATGCCGGTCCTTAGAGTGGGCAGTACGGTAAGAGCCAAAAGATGATGTTACGGGCCCAGTGATAAGGTTCCAGCACAACCACGCCCTCCCTTGCACACAAGCTCCGGAGGCACAGCAGAAGCCAATCCGCTAAGCTTTGACAGGAGGTGAACTCGAGGGCTGGGTTTGGTACCAAACCAGAGCAAAAGGTTATTTGGAGACTCTGCTGTTAAAAGCTGCAAAGGAAATTCTGAAAGATGACGTATGGAAACGAAGCAGCTCCCTATCGTTGGCATCCAGGGATTATGATGACCCCGCCCCCTGACGCCCGCATTCAGGCAGATACTTAGGCAGCTCAAAGGGGCCCTGTGTTGCCTGGCTACATCATGTGGCCACGTAAGGACTCTGAAGGCATGTGCAAGCTTCCCCTTTTTAAGCAGCACCTCACACTCCTCTCTCGTCCATCTCTACCCCAATCTTTGTTCCAACAGTTTAATAATTAACATAAGTTTCTGTGTGTTCATTTGGGGCCGGAGCGGCTGTGGATCTGACGAGACAAGAAAGCTCAGCAACGCCTAAGTGTCGTGACTCTTGTTGCTAGAGTCATTTGTGGCTCTTGGCCACGGCTACCACCTTGACCTGGACATGTGGAGGCACCAACGCGCTCCCTTCGTTGTTCCCACCATGGTGGACTTACCTTCCCCACGGCACAGACGAGACATGCTGGTCACTCAGGGAAGAGCTGCCCCTGGGCTGGAGCACAGCACATGAGATGTCTGTTGCTTCTGGATAGAGGTCTGGCAGACCACAGGCAGGAGACTCATCTCTCCCTAGAGGTCCCCTATAGGCCCACCCTACTCCGTGTGGCCGAGGCTATCTCCTCCACTCTCCAGTGTGTGTTGGGACTCTTAACACCCCAACTCCCCCCATGTCTGAATTCCTGGTTTGCACTGAGGTCCTCCTGCAGCATTTGGCTTTAGGTTGTGGATCTGGCTTCTTGCATAGCTGAACCTTCCAAGGGCAAGATGACCAATACCTTTAGTACCAAATTATGTTTGCATAGCCTATTGTCCCTACAGAGAGCAGGGCCAGAACCCATGCTGAGTCTCCTTGGGACCCTCACTCAGTTTGCACTCAGCGCAGACACTTGGAAGGGCAATGACTGTACCCCTGAATGACACGTGGTATGTGAAGGAGGTGACAGCTGGTCTGGAGGTTCCCTGAAACCTCAGTGAGTAGCCACTGACTGTGTTTTTTACTGTCTTATTCTGAGTGTGGCTCATTGGCCACACTACACTCCCCTATAAACCATGCATAGTTCAGCTCAGTAGGCAAGGTAGGAGACATCCGTCTTCCCTCCCCATTGACATGATGGGCACAGGGCGCTGGGAAAGGCTGAGGAGTTGGCCTGCATGTTGCTTTCCTCAGTAGAGTAGCAGTCCCCTCAAGGCCAGGCAGCTCACGGACGTGCAGGCCGAGACTGGAGAAGGACCCCAAAGCCCCAGCCACAGAAAATGAAATCCCCAGGAAACTGAAGCTGTCCCACCCCCACCCATCGGTCACACCCCGCAGAGGTGCAGTCTGTCCCCAGGTTCATACCAAGCCTGCCGTTTTGTCTAAGCCACAATCGGTCTGCCATCCCAGAGCAGACTTGGGGCTCTATTATCTCACTCTGACCAACGCTGTGAAGCTCATTCCCACAGCCTGCCTGCTGCCACCTTCGCTGACGGGGACCCTGCTGACGGGGCCTCTGCGGTTTGGCGTGAGGAGCCTGGGACTGAGTGAGATAGGCAGACACTAATAGGCATCGGGCACCCCTGGCTGGTAGGCTGGGTGGGACACTGTCTTCCTATCCAGCCGCTCTGCAGCGAGGGTCTGACTACCCCTGCAGCACAGCCAAGGAACTCAGCACGGAAGCAGAGGTGCTCACTGGACCTTCTGTCAGAGGCTGTAGACAGTTAATTAGAATTTCCATTTGGGGCATATTTTTACTAAAAGGCGGTTTCCTAGGTGAGCTAGCACTGGAATTGCAGGGCCTGTGTTTTGATTTGCTAACCTTGCCAACAGAGCCCCATCTGTCTGGCTGGCACGTCCCTAGGAAGCCTTTCTTATCATTACCATCTCATTTGACATTGTCTCAACACAGTCGTGCTCTGTGACCCAGGCTGGCCTTGAACTTTCAGCAATGCCCCTGCCTCAGGACTGGGATTACGGATATGCACCACCATACCCCAATACATTTGTATGAACCAGATTCAAATTTAATTCAACACTCAAGAATTCCAAGACTCATATGATGGTAGCGGCAGTGCAGGCCCATGGTCCCAGCGCTCGGGAGGCAGAGGCAGATAGGTCTCTTGAATTTGAGGCTAGCCTGGTCTACCGAGTGAGTTTCAGGACTGCCAGGGCTACACACCGCCTTCGGTGAACTGCGGTGGCTGTGGTGAAGCTCAGTCTGCAACTGGGGCCACGTGGACAGAATACGTCTCTCTGCCCCTCCGCGTTTCCCTCTAAGATACCCAATGCCAGTCTCCCGCTGTGGTTGTGAGGGTGGAAGGAGGGTGTGGTTTTTTTTTTTTTTTCCGGGGCCTAGGAGTGATACAAAAGCACCAGCTTCGTGGGAAACACCTCGGGCCAGGCGCGGCCCTCGCCTCCTAACTGAAGGACTTCGGGGCAGACATGTGAGAAAGGTGAGCTTCTGAACCCGAGGTGGGGATCTGGGCATAGCAAACACGTTCTGCCTGCCTCCACCACGGACTCACCTTTCCCTTCACGGGGCCCCGGCTTCACCTCCGGGATCACTTCCGCCTTTGGACTCTCTGCTGGGTAGGAGGTCTGTCTAGAGCTAAGTACCAGCTTTGACAATCCTGAGAGACAGATGATAGACAGACAATTGATAGATGATAGATAGACAACTGATAGATAGATGATAGATTATAGATAGCTGATAGATAGCACATAGATAGATAAATGATTGATAGGAGATAGATAGATAGATAGACAGACAGACAGACAGATAGTTGTTTATACTAAATCTCAACCCTCGATTTTACCAAGACTCGGCAGTCAGGTACTGGATTGAAAGCCTGCTGGCTCAGAGAGGCAGAGAAGGCTCCCAGCTGACCTTCCTCCTCAGCCAATGTTCCAGCTAGAACTTTCTCTTCTCAAACTGAATGTCCCTCCCATCTACTTCCTGTTCTTTTCTCTATCCATCCTCCCGACTCCCTCTTATTCTCTATGGTTTGTTCCTGCCAACTGATTGCTGGCTCGGTCTGTTGACCTGTGTGGTTGACTTTATTCAATTCTGTTTACAATATTCAAGCAGAAAGCTCTTAGATTAATGCTGTGTGCTAGGACTGAGCCTCACTACAAGTAGGGACAGGTTTTTCCAGTAAAAGCAAAGTCTCGGGGTTCGCAGTGTGATCAAATACCCTGTAATAGATCAGATAGGGGACAGACAGACAGACAGACAGACAGACAGATAGACAGAGAGAGATAGACAGATGATAGATAGATGATGAAGATACAGGGCTGTTGGTGGAAAACCAGAGACTGGGGACTTCTGTTTGTTGCTGCTGTGGATGGGCTAATTCTAAAGGCAGGAGTGTTTGGCTTAGGTCTCTTTGTGGGTGAAGGGCTGGGTGCCCAACTCACTCCAGTGTTCAGTGACAGTATCCAGTGGCAGGAGCCAGCCACCCACATGGCAAAGGCGCCCTTCGTGTCAATCTGCCTGGTTGGCTTGTCTTTGGCGGGGCCTCTAAGATGATTTTCTCTGTTTAATGGCAGGAGGCTGAGGGCTGCAGAGGGCCGAGGGGACAGGGAAGCTGGGAAAATAGGACTAAATCCCTTGGTGCAGACCAGTTTTTCTTTCTTGGTGATGAAGATGGAATCCAAAGCCTTGTGCATGTATACGAAGGTGGAATCCAAGGACGCGTGTTCAGCAAGCTCCTTCCTGCTGAACCACAGCCTAGCAGCCTCTGGGCCAGTGCTTTCCAAGTCAAGGAAGGTTTTGATAAGCTGTGAGCAAAAAGCAGCTCCCTGGAGCTCCGAGCCCTGGCACGGCTTTCCTGCTGGGGCTACAGTCAACCCCCACTCCGCGCCTCATCTCTGGGATTAAACTCTTCTCTCCTCACCAGAAATCATTCAACAAAATGAGTTATTAAAAGCCGGCTAACTACTCTTGCCTCCGGGTAGCTACGGTTTAACAGTCTCTCCTGGGGAGCAGCTGTCAAGCACAGGCCTCTCAGAGCTGGCGGGAAGATGACTCATTTACATAGTCAGGCTCCATCCTGCCCCCAGCTCCGTCCCCGTCTCTCTGGTGACTAATCCCCTTCAGGGATGAGATCACCACCCCCATCAAAAGAGCAGAACCCCAGCCTCAGCCTGAGACTTTGGGAGTCAGGTCATCTCTCAGAGGGAGACCCAAAAGCTGATTCGAGAAAACAGGCCCTCTAAATAAACCCAATTTACATGGTCAATAAATGTCAGCTTCATCAGAATGTATCTCAAACCTTCCCGTCCCAGAGGGGCAGGACTTTTAGAGATCTTCGTGGTTCTGGAAGGCAGGGTCTTTCTCACAGTGCCAGGTCCTTATGCACCGACATGCTCACTCCCTGCCTACCCGGTCAGCCGAGGGCTGCCTTGAGGGCTTCTGTGTTCAGGAGGAAGAGATGTGGTACTTAGGGAGTGGGCAGAGCCCGAAAGGCTGGCCGCCAAGCCCTCGGGATGACTTGGTGATGCAGAGAGGCCAGCCTTGGTCTTTTTTTTGACTATGGTGCTCCACATCTGCCCGCAACCCCCACCTCTTACCACCTGCCCACTGTCCATAATAGATAAGAGGTCACAATGAGCACAGACCCACAGCTTTGAGTTTCACTCAGAGAAGTTCCCAGCAGGGTCCACAGAGAATCCTGTGCTCCTCCTGCCAGCCTGCTGACATACTCCACTCAGAGGCTGGCAGACATCAAAGGTAACTACCATAGCACCTCAGAAATGTCCCCTAGAGCCTGGCAGGGGTCAGCAGGGCTGGGACTGTCACTGCTGAGCTGAGGACCGAGGCTGGGCTGGTTGTAAGTGCGAATCCTGCTCTCAGCCGGCTGCGGCAGACGGGAGGCTGGGACCTTGTACCAGAAGCAAGTGGAGCTGTGGAGTGAATTGGACCTTTGGAACACCAGGCCTGGCACCCGCTGGTGCTTTTGAAGCACAGTCCAGGGTCACTACACAGGTTTGGGGTGTTAGTATTCAGGAATCTGTACTGGCCTGCCCTTGGGGTTCTGGCAGGTCACGCCCTCAGCTGCAGCCACTAAGAGCACCACCTGTGCACATTCACTAGGTTCCCTTTTAAAAGGGTCCTGCCCCCTCCCCACTCTGTTGTAGAATGTTGTTTTAAGGTGTGTTGCTTTTGTTTATGCTCTGGAACATTTGTTGAGTAATGCAAAGATGTGTTTGATTAAATAAGATTCACCTGTGGTCGAGAGACTGGGTCAGCAACTAGCTGACAGGAAATTGTAGGGAAGAGCCAGGTGGAGGAGGGTTTATAAGGAGGGGCGAGAAGGAGTATGATGACTCTTTGGGAGACTTGAGGAGGTGAGCTGCTTGATATTCAGCCTCTCTGGGAAGCAGGATTCTACCTCAACCTTTGAATCTTGAGTTATTTGGCAGGACAGAGATTTAAATAAGTTTCCTTAGTAGCTTTGAAAGAGTCGGTGCCTGAGGGAACAGAATTCCGTCAGGCTTGGGCTCTTGTGGCCTAGCCATTGCTGGTAGTGGTGGAGTGGCAGCCGCTAAATATGATAGCCGTACTTTAAAAGGAAGCAACAGTTAGAAAAGAAAACCAACACCTCTCTCCCTCTGTCTGTCTGTTCCTTTCTCTCTGTTAGCCCCCTCTCTGTCTCTCTTCTCTCCTCTGCTGCTCCTGTCCCCAGAGGCCGGTCTCCCCCGCCCTCCCCCCTTTTCCCATTCACTCTTCCCTAATAAAAACCCCTCCACCTAAGCTCTGCCGCATGGCGTCTTTTTCTGGAGCACCGCTTTTTAAAGTTACGCCTTGGGAGAAACAGATGAGAGAGGAGCACAGAGCACGGCTGTGACACGCAACGTTTCCCCCTTGTCCTTGAGGCCCTGCCCAGTGTCCAGGTGAGAGACAGGGCGCAACTGATTTCACTTGTAAACACACGCCCAGTCGTACCGTGTGGAGAGGCGACTGTGGTCAGGATGCCTGCCCTGGGCCTGTGCTGCGAGTTGGTTCTGTCCTCTGTCTAGAAGGAGATGGAGGCTGTGGTGGTTTGAACAGGAATGGCCTCCATAGGCTCTCAGATTCGAATGCTTGGTCATTAGAGAGTGGTACTACTATTAGTGGGTGTGGCCTAGTTGGGGGAAGTGTGTCCTTGGGGGTGGGCTTTGGGGTTTCAAATGATCAAGCCAGGCCCAGAGTCTCTCTCCCTTCTGCCTGCAGAGATGTAGAATTCCCAGCTTCCTCTCCAGCACCATGTCTGCCTGCAGGACCCCGAGCTTCCAGCCACGACTCAGCTATGAACCTGTAAGCCAGCCCCAGTCTGCCTGCCTTGTGGATCAACTCATCACTACCTGGCACTTCCTACATTTTCTTCTTTTTTCTTGAGACAGGCTTCCTCTGTGTAGTCTTGGCTGTCCTGGAACTTGCTCTGTAGACCAGGGTTGGTTGCCCTTGTCGCCTGGTAGATGCTCATCCCTGGGTCGGTGTTAGGGATTGATGCTCTCTTAGCTTGCTTCATTCTTCATTACGGCTGTACTGTGTGAGCACCTCTGGTGCAGTCCAGTCTGAGCAGCATAGCCTTTCTCTGAGCAGCAAACTGACTGTTGGGAGCTGCCTCGTCCCACAGACACACCCGGTTGGAAGCCAGATGGGGGAAGGCCTTCTGCATATAGGGTTCTTTTATTGGTTAATGAATAGAGACAGGGAGACAGATGGGACAAGGAGACGAGGAGAATTCTGGGAAAGGTAGCCAGAAAAATCCCGCCAAAAAGAGATGACATGTAGTCACTAAAGGAGTAAAGACCATGTGTTGTCCCCACTTGGCAGACAAGGAAATTGAATCCAGGAAATAACACGAGTACAGGACTCCTAACTTCCCCATGTGTGAGTGGGCATTTGTCTCCTCCCTCCTGAGTTTAGATCTTTTGATTGCAGGAAAGAGCTATTGGAGGTCATGACAGTTCATGTCTAGAGGCTCTCAGTGAAAGCTTGATTAGAAGGGGCGTGTCCCCACTGCTATGCCAAGGATGGCTGCAGAGGGCGGGATGGGGAATAGGCTTCACGGGTGCAGGTGTAAAAGGTGTGTGTGTGTGTGTGTGTGTGTGTACATAAATGTGCATGCATGCTCACTCTTGTGCACATGCGTATGGGCACATACATGTGTGGGAATGAGGAGACCCAGACAGGGCAGTAGCCAGGAGGAGAGGAGACAGATCAAGGCCACAAACAGGAGAGGACAAACTCAAAACCTAAATCTGGTAGGAGGCTAAAAACAGAGAAACAAGCTGACCGTGCAGTTCCAGCACTCAGAGAGGTAGGAAGTCAGGCTCAAAGGAGTTCAAAACCACCCTCTGTTATACGACACCATATCTCACAAAATCAAATCAGAACAACCCAAATGAAACCAAAAGCTGAACTAGAGCCAAGTAACAAAAAAGACGGAAAGCTTATAGCTCTCTCAGGAAGCAGCCTGCCCTGGGCATGAGGGAAGGTAGTCTCTGGAGCACTTCCCCGGGGGACTCTGAGGGCACCCAGACCCCTGACGTGCCATTTGCCTCAGAGAAGCAGAGTAAATTGTCCATATACTGGCACATGGTGGCCAACCACACACCCTGCAGCCAGGGATTTGGTTTAATCAGCCATGAGCCTCACGGGGACCTTCAGCAAGCCACACCTGTTTCCTTGTCTATCAGATGGATCAGACAAACAGCCCCATACTTCCCAGGGCACTTGGTGGAGAGTAGACATCAGCAAATATGACTCGCCTGTAGTGATCTTTTGTTTTTTTTCGAGGCAGGGTTTCTCTGTATTGTTTTGGAGGCTGTCCTGGAACTCGCTCTGTAGACCACGCTGGCCTCAAACTCACAGAGATCCGCCTGCCTCTGCCTCCCGAGTGCTGGGATTAAAGGTGTGCGCCACCAACGCCCGGTGGTGTTATCTTGTTTGTACAAATAAAGCCTGTCTGTAGGTCAGAGGGTGGAGCTTGCCACCAGTTAACCATAGAGTCTGGAGGTCTGTACAGACAGACAGGAAGTGAAATGGCTGGGAGGAGAAAGGAACTATTCTGCTGGGAAGCTAGTGAGGTAAAAGTGGCTTTGGCTGGCTCCTTCTCTCTGACCTCTCAGCATTTCCCTCTATATCTGACTCCCGGGCCTTTTATTATTAAGACCAATTAGAACTTATGCTACGCTATATCAGCTTATTATTGAGGTTGGGTGCCTGAAGAGTAGGGAGGCTGGGCCACACTTGGCAGACCTCCAGCTTATAGAAGGTACAACAGGTGAGGGTACCATTTTTCTGGCTCAGCTATGTGCTCGTCTGTTGTTGGCTTTCCTAAAGTTATAAGGAGCCTGCTATGTGACAGCCACGAGGTGAGACTGCTATGCCAAGGAGCTCAGTGTCTGGCTAGGATGAGAGGGACACTGTCTCCCCATTTGTAAATTGTGTGATTGTGTGAGTGTCTATGTGAGTATGTGTACAAGTACAGGTGCCGGTAGAGACCAGATGAGTGTGTCAGATCTCTTGGAGCCTAAGGTGTGTGTAAGGAACCAAACTCGGGTCCCTCTGCAAGGACAGTACCCACTCCTAACTGCTGAGCCATCTCTCCAGCTCTTCCAAATGCCGTTCTGTGTCCATATGGTGTGATGGGTTGGTTTTGACTGTCAGTTTGGCAGTGTAGAGTCACTGGGAAAGGGCGGCTCAGTGAGGGACGGGCTGGGTTAGGATGGTCCGAGGGCATGTCTGCAGCGGATATTCCTAATTGCATTAATTAATGTGGGGTTGCTCATCCCACTGTGGGAGGCACTATCCCCTAGATCAGGAATTCTGGGCTGTTTGAGCGTGGAGAGGAGGCTGCACACAGGTGAACTGGGTGCGTGCGTTAATTTCTGTCTGCTCATGGGTGTGGATGTGTCTAGCCGCCTCAAGGTTTTGCCTTGACTTTCCTACAATGAGCTGTAACCTGGAATCGTAAGTCAAAATAAGTCCTTTCTTTTTTCTTTTTATTTTTTAAAAAGATTTATTATGTATACAGTGTTCTGCCTGCATGTACACCTCCTTGCCAGAAGAGGGCACCAGATCTCATTATAGATGGTTGTAAGCCATCATGTGGTTGCTGGAAATTGAACTCAGGACCACTGGAAGAGCAGCCAATGCCCTTAACCTCTGAGCCATCTCTCCAGCCCAGCCCTTTCTTAAAGTTGCTTTTGTTGGGTATTTTTTTTTATCACATAAAGCTAATACAGATGGGTAATCAGAGTACAGAAATGCTCTCTATGGTTCAATGCTGGGCTAGCTCTTCCACCTTCATGAGGGAATAATAGAGGCATCCGTCCACTTCAAAGCCTTCCACAAAACCAGAGGGAGAGCATTGCTGCCTATGTCCCATACATAAGTATCCACGAGATTCCCTCCTCAGCACCTGGAGCATTGGTTCCTATGACACTTGCTCGTTTTCATCCTTTTAAGGAGCCTTTGGCCCAATAATGCTATCCCCCTAGGTGGCTCAGAGCCGAGTATCATGGAGGGATCACTGCCAGGCTGGGTCTCAGACTTTATCCTCTCCTACCTTTTTTTCCCATTTCTGAGCTTCCTTCATCCTGCCTCGTTCTCTTCCTTCAGTCTACAGCACCAATGATGAGCAGCCATGGTATGCTCACGGATGGCGGCCTCTGAAGCCCATACCTGGCTGAACTGTGTTCCCCTCCAGTTCACAAGTCAGGGTCCCAGAGCTCTGAGTGCACCTATATTGGTAGACAGCTCCTTTGAGACCAACAAGGACAGCAAAAGGAGGCCTCATCTGATCTTCTGAGAGGAAGCAGTAAGGGCCCAGAGTCGGACAGAGGGACAACCGGGTGCAGACACAGAGAGCCATCTATAAGCGAAGAGGCTTGAGAAGAAACCAAACCTCAGTGTTAGCCTATGGCACTGGGAGCTGCCTGCCCACACTGTTAGGGAGCCAAACCTGGTCCACGTGGCCAGCAGGTTGACTGGCTGCAGGAGCCCGCATGGCCAACCCTGGCCACTGTTTCCCTGCAGCGGAGACAGCAGGGAGTCCACGATGCAAAGCTTCATTCCAGAGCCTTGACCAGGAGGCTGCCTCTATATTTATCCCACTAACTGCAGGGGAATGTTTATACCCAAAGAGAAGGCCTCCCCCGCGAGACGGGTCATCTGCTCCTGGTTCCCGTAAGTCGTCATCATTGGGCCGCCTCCTGGAGGCTGGTGGAGGCTACTCAGCCCAAGGACAGATGCCCTTGCAAACAAACCCAGCTCTGCTGTCTCTCAGCTTCATTAGAAATCTCAGTGCTTTGTAGGTACTCAACAAACAGGAGAAATGAATGCAGCGCCTGGGAAGATGGCCCAGCAGAAAAAGGCACATGCCTCCAAACCCGAGCTCAATCCCCACAGCCTGTACGGTGGAGAGAGAAAACTGACTCCTGAAAGCTGTTGTCTGGCGTCCACTTGCCCACTGTAGCAGGCATGCACACGTGCATGCATGCAGGCTCACATACACACACACACCACAAATATATACATAATACACTAATATATGTGTATACAATATAAGCATATACACTAATATATATACATATATGTATATACACACTAATATATACACACATATGTATACACAAGCACACATGTGTGTATATATACACTAATACATATGTATTTACACACACTAATATATATGTATATACACATTTATGTTTATAGTCACAGACTAATATGTATATATTATATATACACACTAATATATATGCATACACAGATACGTATATACACACTAATATATATGCATACACAGATACGTATATACACACACTAATATATATGCATACACACATGTTAGTCTAAGGCCAGTGAGATGGCTTAGCAGGTACAGGTGAGGTGCTTGCTGCCACACCTGATGAAGTGAGTTCAATCCCCAGGATCCACAAAGTAGAAAGAATCAACTCTCAGCAAGTTGTCCTCTGACATCCACACATGTACTAGGTGGTAGCCGTGGTGAGCGCTACTAGATGGCAGCGCTCACCACGGCTACCACTAACCACCACCAAGAGCAGGGGACAGCTACACTCTCTTAAGCCCGCAGTCACTGGCCTGCGACAGTTTCCTCACTGAAGCTTGAGTGGTCTTTACAGTTTGAGACCATGTTAATACATGTTTTATTTCTCACACCTTCCTAGGTAGGACATGCTGTTACCCTGTCTTCAGAGGTACAGTCTGAGGTTCAGGCGACCGTGTGAGGGATCGGTAAGAGGGGTCAGAACTCCAGCAGGGACCACACTGGCTGAACCTCTCCTTAGGTCTCTGATGGCGTCACCAGGGGGTCTCAGAGCAGAATCAGGAAGTGAGGAAAGCTCATCTCAGCTGCCAGGGCCGTCTGTGGTTGGACACTCCAGAGGGCGACCGACAGGGTGTGGCCCTCAGGCACGTGCCCTGTTGGCTTTTCCTTAAACAGAAGTTGGACCAGAACAGCTATGACCCCCTGGACGTGGGTGTGATCTGGTCCCCTGGGAGCTGGGTATGGGGAAGGACAGCCCCTCACCTCTACTGTGTCTGATTTTGAGGTCCAGAGAGCAGCACTTAACATTTTCAAAGTGAGGCATCAGTGCCCTGGCCTGTGTCACGGCGGTTCCTGTGATTGGCATGAGGGTGGAGGTCCCTCCAAGGAGTCAGCCCACCAACACAGGTGCCAGGATCAGGAGTTCCCGGATGTAGCGATGAAGCCCAAGGCCTGCCTCACCCCACCCCCACCCAGCGAAAGGCCAGCAGCTTTTCCAGAAACATACCTTCACCCTCACCTCGTGTGTGTGTGTGTGTTTACACGTGTATGTACAGGTTCACGTGTGGATGATGCATGTACTTGCATGTGTGCACATGTGAATGGAGGACAGAGGTCAATTTCAAGGGCCTTCCTCCTCTGTGACTGTCCACCCTGTTTTCTGAGATAGGATATCTTGATGGGACCAAAGTCTTGCCGGCTAGGCTCGACTGGCTGGCCAGTGAGCCCCAGGGGTCCCTCTGCTGCTTCCCCAGCAATGGGGTCACAAATGCTTCTGCTGCACCCAGAGTTCTTACACGTGTCCTGGGGATCAAGTTCAGGCTCTGTGTTTATGAGGCATGGATTTACCAGCTGCGCCACCCCCTGGCGGCACCGTCACATCTTTCTTTGGACTCGGTGCTGAGCACAGCTAGCCCTCCACCGTGACGGAGACACAGGTATACAAGCTGCCGCCACCTCATCTGCCCAGCACTTCTGCCTCCTCACCGGCACATGGAGGTGTCCCATGACAGAACTGACCAAAGGAGTTCTCCCCACAGAAAACCTCTAGATCATCTTGGCTCGGGGCGCCTTCCCTCAGCGAGACCGCAACCCGGAGGAGATTGCCTCCTGGGACTTCAGCCTCTGAGCTCGGAGCCTCCCGAGATGCCGTGGGCTGTGCCAGGCAGCAGCGGGGAAGCCTTTCTTTCCCAGTCCGTCCCTCCGGGACCTAAGGATAGCCGCACCATTGTCCCAGTGTTCTTATCCAGACACATGGGTCCTGTGTACTCTCCTCCCGTCTGAGGAGCTCAGGCTGCAAAAGCTATAATTTTCCAGGGTTTGTTGTAGGTGCCCTTTGTTGGCAGACGTGGGCTGGGTATGAGCACTGTAATTTTCCAGCCTTTTAAATGGCCCCTCTGGAGCTAACATGAACCATGTGCCAAACGTAACCCACCCCATTTCCCACCCCCAGACAACCCAATTACTCATAGTCTTCACCAGGATCCACCCACACCCCCAGTGGGGGGACGACTTGGGGATACACATACTCATGACCAACTATGGTATACCCTCTCTAAGGAATACTACACACCTGGCAAAAAGGATACCACAAAAATATTGAAAAGCAACACCCCACATTTTTATCAAGAGGAAAGACTCGGGTAACCCTCTAGAATTATTATAGTGGTAGAAATAGGGATTTTTCCACCCTTTTTCTTTTTGGCATTTGGTCTCTTTAAAGACAGGTTATTACATTTTATTTATGTGTATATTTCTGTGGACATGTGTGTGTAATTAGTGGTCAGGGAACAATTCTGGGGAGTTCTTTTCTGTCATGTGGGGAACCTGGGGACCAAACACAGGTTTTCAGGCTAGGTGATTACCCACTCTTGCTAGCCCATTCTTTGATGCTGTTTGTTTGAGGCAGGGTCTGACTTGAAACTCACTATGTAGACCAGGCTGGCCTCGAACTCACAGAGATCCGCCTGCCTCTGTGTCGGAGTGCTGGGATTAAAGGCGTGCACCACCATGCCCAGCTATGGTTTATTGTTCTGGGAAGGGAAGTTGTACCTGGGTGAGCAGATAACACGGTCGTGGAGGGGTTACTATCACAGAAGTCAAATCAGAGTGAATAAAACCAAGTGACCAGGCAGGTTCCTCAGGGCGCCCCCTAGTGTCGCATGGATATGTGACTGGTGAGGGCAGGTGATGGCAGAGGTAACACAGAACGCAGACCTGGAGGTCCACGTACACCGTCTGCCGATCTTGGCTAGAGCTCCTGCGTGGGTAGTGGCTGTCTATGCTGAGGTCTGGAAGGGCTGGGGACAGGCAAAGCTTCCCCCTGGAGCAAACAGGAAGCTTCTATCAGAAAAGGCAGGACGGCAGTTGTTGCCTCCCCTGCTCAATCATTGATAAGTAGCTCCGTGTCTCAATTTGTCATTCAGGGAGTACCAACTCTGTGGGGGTGGGGTGGGCCTGCCACGGAGTCCGCCACACCTAGGTGAGACTCTCAGCTCTGTCTCTGGTTGGCTCCTTGATCTCAGAAATCCATGAGACCTACCTTTAGAAAACTTTAGATGCACTTTTTATTTTATGTGCGTTGATGTTTTGCCTGCTGATATGTGTGCATGCCTGGTACCTGCTGAGGCCAAAAGAGGGCATCGGATGCCCTGGAGCTACAGACAGTTGTGAGGCTGGGAACCAACCCTCCGCCCTCTGCAAGGGCAAGTGCTCCAACGGCCTGGCCGTCCCTCCAGCCCCACATCCTATCTTTGTTTAGTTTCCTGTGCCTGCAGATAACGGTACATGCCGTCCCTGCCACTTGCAGGATGGAGATGAGGGGGTAAAATGAGCAATGTGTGCAAGCTGCTGCTTGCTGTGCAAACACCTGATGCTGACCATTTGTGCTGACAGGTGCAGAGCGAGCGCCAAGGCGGAGCACGGAGGACAGAGGTTGTAATAAAAATGCCTGGCTAAATTTCAATTCAGTTCTTGCTTTCTTTGGGCAAATGATTTGCTCAGGGGTGAGGCCAACAGGTAATGCATAAGGGCTTCCGTGGGAAAGAGCCCACTGAGCACCATCATCCAGGTATGCCGGGGTCCTAGTGCTCTAGCTTGGAGTCCCAGACCCTGGTGATCTGGCAGAGTCCTGGGCCCTGGCAGTTATGTGTTTATGCAGCACTGTGCAAAGTCTTATATTCTCCTGCATACTTGAGCTGTCTGTTTTCAAATGGACTCATGATGAGGAAGGATACTCTTACGCATGCGGCTGTTAACTCAGGGGCTTCGGAGGCCAATAGGCATTTCTGCTGTTCATTAGTGGAAACACACAACATGACTCCTTGTGCTTGGGAATACTTCTAGCCTCCTCAGGACTCCCTCCTTGGAGACGAGTAGTGCAGCACTGAGCCATACCCTGATCATCTGCACCCCTCTTCAGACCATTTTAAAACAGTCTATAAGTTGGCAAATCCCATACTTGTACCTCAGTCCCGACCTGTCCTGGCCTACCCTTCCCCATCTCTGTAAACAGCAAGCCATCTTTTTCTTTGTCAATTTTGTGTGTGACTTTTTCCTGCATGCATGTATGTGTGCCGCATGCGTGTAGCGTCAGACAGGTCAGAAGCGGGCTGGAGACTGAACCCAGGGCTGTTCATGCGTGCTAGGTAAGCAAGCGCACACGGATCCACACAGCCAATCCCTTACCCTGTGGTTGTCTCTTCATAGCGTGTGTCCCCACTCAGCACTTATTTGCTGGTCCGTTGCCTTCCATAACTAGAAAGCTACAGTAGGGGATCTGTCTACGCGTCCATTGCTGCATCCCTGGGGATTTAAGAATGTGCACGCAGAGGAATCCAACCAACGCTTGACGAGCAAACAGATAATTGGGGTCGTGTTTTCTGGGTGCTGAACTGGAACACAAGGTCTGATAATTGTTCTGGAAAATGTGCATGGGCGGTTAGTGTGATACCCGCATCCTGAATCCACACTACGAGATTTCCTAAAATCTCTGCTTTGAGGCTCTTTAACCCATAAAAAGGTTTGGTTCCAGTATTGGTGGAACCTATTGGTTTAAGGTGCAGCTCTAGCCACAGGCTGTGCGGAGGCTGGGGGAGAGCTCTGAGTGTCATCTCTGTACACCCCAGCAGGGAAAACCTGAAAACACTACAGGAAGCGAGTCAGAGCCACGCAGATGTCCACTGACTCCTGAGTCCTGGAATAATGGAATGGGTGGGGCTTCTCCAG